CTAAACAAGGTGGAGCTCAGGGATCCCAGACTGATAGCTCGGAAACCAGCATGGGACTGATCCTGACCCTCTGAATATGGGTGTCAGTGAGAAGGCCCTGGCAATCCATGGGGCCTTTGGCAGTAGATCAGTATTTATTGCTAGCAAACCAATGGACTTTGGGAGACCATTTCACATAGAGGGAAACTCTGTCAGTCTAGACACAGTGGGGAGGTCCTAGGCCCTGCTCCAAATGATACAACAGACTTTGAAGACGCCCTCACCCTCCCTAGGGAACAGAAAGGGGTTGGGTAAGGGATTATGGGGGGCAGGGGAAGAGGGCAGGGAGAGTGAACAGGGATTAACATATAAATCAAGTTTTGTTTCTAATTTAAATAAAGAAATAGCGGGAAAGACTATTAAAGAAGATCCTGGTTGCTGAACCAGAGACCCACTGTGAAGGAGAAGCAGTGACATGCACAGGGCACGATGGGAAGGAATAGGTGTTTGGTAAAAACCATCTCCTCAATCACTAGGCTGTCACCTTCCCTCTAGGTCTGTCCAAGAAGCCCTCTCTGCTGACTCATAAGGTCCATATCCTGGACCCTGGAGAGAGCCTCACCCTGCAGTGTTGCTCTGACATCAACTATGACAGATTTGCTCTCTACAAATTGGGGGGAGTTGAAGTCATCCAGCATGGTGGCCAGTGGACCAAGGCTGGCCTCTCCATGGCCAACTTCACACTGGGCTATGTGAGCAGCTCTACTGGAGGCCAATACAGATGCTATGGTGCACACAAGCTCTCCTCTGAGTGGTCAGCCTCCAGTGATCCCCTGGACATCATGATCGCGGGTGAGGAACTAAATAGATTCAATCTGGTACCTAAGGTCTGCATAAGCTCTTATAGGAGACCTAAGAGCTTGGGTCTGGGATGAGGGATAAGGTTCTTATTTAGGAACAGATTTAGAGACATGGAGCAAGAACAGATTTAGAGATAGGGAGCAGGAGAGAAGGTAAGGCAGGGATAAGCCAGAGTCACAAGTGCCCAGAGCTGAATCTTGTGAAGTCTCAGCTCAGAGCATTGAAGGCAGCCTCTCATTATCTCTGCTCTCTTTAGGACAGCTTCCTGACAGCCCTTCCCTCTCAGTGAAGCCAAACTCAGTGCAGTCTGGAGACAACGTGACCCTGCTGTGTCAGTCAACATACAGAGCAGACACTTTCATTCTGTCCAAGGAGGGAGCAGCCCACCAACCCCAGCGATTGAAATCCAAGTCCCAAGATTGGAAGTCCCAGGCAGAATTCTCCATGACTGCTGTGACCTCTGCCCTCTCAGGCACCTACAGGTGCTACAGGTCTCAAGACTCATCTCCCTACCTGTTGTCACATGCCAGTGCCCCTGTGGAGCTCTCTGTCTCAGGTGAGGTGACCCTGAACTGTCCAGGTGACTTAATATCAAAACCCTAAATGAGCCCTTGTCTTAGTTAGTATTAAGGGGACATTATGAAGTGTTAGTCAGAAAGTGATATCTCTGAAAGAAATGAGGATGCCAGCAGGTCCCTCAAGTAATGTCCACTCCATCCGCTACTGCAAAAAAATAAATAAAATAAAAAATAAAAAACTTTTGAGGAGACAGTCTGAGATAAAAGGGGAAGGCATAAAAGGGGAAGGCGTTTACAGTGTAGATGCAGAAACGTGAGCAGATTGGGGCCCTGGATTAGCATCTAAACCTTTTTCTTTTTCCTAGGACCCATTAGTGCCTCCAGACAACCACCCTCAAGTCCCACACCAACAGCTGGTAAGTATAAGACACCTAAGTGCATGGAGTAGGCTCTGTCCCCAGGCTGCCCTCCTGTCTCTTAGCCCAGCAGAGTGCTCATTACACTGTCACTTCATCTTGGGAGTGTGGGAGGCAATCAGAGATGCCAACAGAGACCCCAGAAACCCAGTGCTTTAGTTTGTAGAACAAAGGATGACATCCAGGGAGAGAGGTTTAGTTTCAGAATGGAAGATGGACCAGGTGTGTGTGGTGGAGATCAGGGAACACGGATAGTCAGCCCCTCATCCTGATAGTAAGGTCCTGAGAACAAACCTCTCGGCTGCATGGTGTAAGGTCCCAGAATATTATGGAAAGACCCATTGGAATGTGAGGATAATATCTAATCATGGGCTTGATACAGCTGCTTCTGGAGATGCTGACTTGGGAAAATCCTTCTGTTTCTGGACTGTTGCTTCTCTGGGTGCATAATGGAGAGATTTGCCCACACCTCTAAGTTTCTTTCAATGTTCACCTTGGCAGTGAATTCTCCTAACAGAAAATTCCTGTAAGACCCAACTCTGGAGTATTTCTGTCCTACAGTGCTAGTGACATATGTAAGGGTGAGTCACAGGACCAGGTCAGGGTATTCAGGATACCTCTGTCTAGATCACTTGGCAAGGTTCCAGAATTCTCCATGAGTACTGTGACCTCCATTTTCAGGGTCTCCTATAGGTGATATGGATGTCACAACTCGCCTCTACACTTATTGTTTTGTCCCAATACACTTGTGAAGCTCATACTTTAGCTCATACTTATGAGCTAAAGCAGTATTTCAGGGTTATTCTTCTAGAATAATCGAATAAGTTTGGGTTATAAATGATGCACAGTGTCAGATAGATGAATATTCACCCTCTGCATGGTAGAAGACAGCAGAGATATTTCCAGGAATGCTCACTACAGACCGCACTAATGGAACCCAAAATGTTTCAGGAAGCCTGAAAGGGGATCTTGAAGAAGCCACAGAGAGATATAGGCTACTAAATAGGAAGAATCCCAAGACAAACCCTCCACATATCGGTAGCATATCCAGAAAGTAGACAAGTGTTTATTAAATCTGACTTTTGAAAATGCTAATCAGATCAGCACCGACGCATGAATGGATCCTTCACACAGCCACTGTTGAGTCTTTTGACTCTAACACTGAGGCTTGGGTAGAAATGACCTCCAAAGGTATAAGGAGACATCAGAATTCCAAATGATTTGATTGTGGCAGAATGGGCCATCTGCAAAGAAATTTTAGACACAACCTCCTGGAAATAATGCTGCTTCTGGGAAAGATCCAAAAAAGGCCACAACATTCTGGACTATGTAGGAGATGCAGCAAGTTTGACATTGAACCAATGAATGTAGATCAGCAAGAAAAAAAGGCAACACTTTACCATCAGGAAACTACTTGGGGGGGCCTCACCCAGTCCCCAAGTGTTGTTTCAGACAAGGCCAGGGCTGTTTATTGGACCTCAAAGACAATTTTTGTTGCATACAGTATTACAGCGGAGGCATAATTATTTTATTTCAAAGGCATCTACTGATTGTATGAAGTTATTATACTGGTTAATATTCTTCTGTATTTAAATTAGAAACAATCCTATTTTCCATATCAATCAGAGTTCCCTATATCTGCCAACCACCTACATCAACCCCCATTTCCTCCCCAATCCCCTCCACAGGGAGAGTGAGGCCTTCCATGGGGGAATCATCAAAGTCTGTCACGTCATTTGGGGCAGTCCCTAGGCCATTCCCAGTGTATCTAGGCTGAGAGAGTATCCCTCTGTGTGGAATGGGATTCAAAAGTCCATTCGTACACTAGGGATAAATACTGATCAACTACCAGAGGCTTCATAGTCTTCCCAGGCCTCCTAACTGGCACCCACATTCAGGACAGGCCTCATGTCTCATGTGGTCCAGTCATTCCAAGTCACTGTGAAGGACCATCCTGTCCCTGGTCATTGCTTAAAGTGTGTCAATGTCCCAGTGTCTCCAGGTGAGGAGGTAACCTTGCAGTGATAGGTACAAACCCTGCTACATTCTCCTTTTTTTCCAAACAGAACCACATCCAAAGCTCAACCCTACCAGACAGAATTCATTATGTGAACCTGAGCATAACAATAATCATGTCAAACAAAATAAAATCCAGTAGTCTCAGTCCAAACCTATTGTTTATGAAGTCTTCAACATCTTATTTCAGGCTGAAATAGAGGAACTGAGACTGTATGGGTTCAGCTTCCTTTTGTGAGGTGTCAGCTAAAAATGCAGGCTGCCTGAAAATTTTGGGATAAGACCATAAGAGACTATGTATCATTGACCCTTGAATCTCCTAAAGAGATAGCACACTTATAGCACTCTCTCCTCACATTACAGCCTGGTTTGTCTCCACAAGAATTATATGTAAAGATGGCAAAGATAAGGGAGTGTCACATACGTCATGCTTGGGATCTATGGTTAGTGACAGCCAGCCATGCCATCACGAGACTGTTAGTTGGAAGCCCACTGGCTTGCCATCTGCTCTCTTTCATGACTCTGTGTTTCTCTGTCTCTCTGTCTCACTCTCTCTTTCTTTCTCTCTCTCTCACACACATAAACACACACACAGAGACAGAGACAGATAGAGACAGAGACAGAGATAGAGATAGAGATAGAGATAGAGATAGAGATAGAGATAGAGATAGAGATAGAGATAGAGATAGAGATAGAGATAGAGATAGAGATAGAGATAGAGATAGAGATAGAGATAGAGATAGAGATAGAGATAGAGATAGAGATAGAGATAGAGATAGAGATAGAGATAGAGATAGAGATAGAGATAGAGATAGAGATAGAGATAGAGATAGAGATAGAGATAGAGATAGAGATAGAGATAGAGATAGAGATAGAGATAGAGATAGAGATAGAGATAGAGATAGAGA